AGATACACTTCTGAGACAAAACAGGACGTGGTTGTTGAAGTTTGACATGTTATAAGGGGCAGAGTTCCATTATCAGCTCAGAAGGTTTGAGGGGAGAAAAAAGGTCACAATATGCCATAATGGGAGGGATGAATGAATGAGATGCAAATTGCCTTGAGAATTGCAGCAGCATCCACTGCCTACACCACATGCCAGTTGCTTGGGTCAGGGGGAGGAGAGATACACAAGAGCAAGACCACAGGGACATTCTGCATTTCCCGTGTTCCTCTTCACATACTGTTTTTGCATGACACTGGTTATGAAACTGAAAACGTTGGTTCAGCTTCAGGCAGCAATTTTAGGGTCAATTGCTTCTTCACCAGACACTGAAATCACAATTTGTCAAGCATCAAATTAACTGTAAACGTTTTAGGGGACAGTGAACTTGAGTTATGCATTATTATTGGGTCCCCTTCCTCAAAAATCTATCTTGCAATCCCTCTTGAAATGGCAGGTGCCTTTTTCTTTTTGCTAGAATCACACTTGAAGATGAACTCTGCAATTACACTACTTGCTTTTTGCTCCATCAACTCATTCCTGACTGTTATGCACTCTTGAAAGTACAGATCTCAAGTCATGGAATACGCTTTCAAAACCATGTGAAGCGTTTTATCAATTTATCACAAGAGTACGTCAATATAGGTTTTCCAGCTGAAAGCATTTAAAAGTTTCCTGAAAACTTTTATAGCTCAGCTTGGACCCACTCCTAATCCACAGACAGGGTAAAAGACTCATCTGGCACCAGCACACCACAAAATAAGTAAGCAATAAAGCCTTAATGAGGTTAGCTGTCCAGCAAAGCCCCAATACCCAGGGCTGCGCATCTTTCCCTAATACTGTCAGTACAACACAGAACAACTACAAGCCTTGGTGCTGCAACAGATATCACTCAGTATTCAGCTGTATCAAACTGGTGTTTAAACATCATTCCAGCCAATGCCCCAGTAGGCTAGGAGAGGTGGAAGCTAGTGGAAACTGGAAAATCATTGCTGGGAATGATGTCAGATTTGGATTTATTGTGTAGCAATTCTAGGTCAGAATCAAACTTTTATATTTTACTCTTCCATGCAAATGTTAGAGAGTGAATATGAAAAATGTATTCTTTAAAATGGAGGGGAAAAAAAAGTCCATCAATGTTCTGCAAGTCCTATAGGTCTGCAGTTAATTTAAATGAGGAGTGATATTTCATATCCAGGTGGGATGATCATAAATCTTTTGGACATATGTGAGTTAAGATGAAGAAAAATATAAAATCGGCAATGCTGTGAAGATTTTACATTGAAGTGGTACATGGACAAAGTTGAATTTGGTTTGTTAGGCCTCCATTTCAGTTCTATCTCCCCAGCCTGGTGTTTGACCATTGAGGTGCTTGTGAAAGCTTACCACACCATGAGCCATGAGCTATACAGCTGAAAATTCTCGCTTGCCTTCAATAAAACAAAGGCAGAATTAAATGTCAGCAGTATCAAAACCTCCCCTTTACCCCTGAAATTCAAAGCCCAAGTCCCGTTTGAGTGTCACCAAACACAAGCTGTGCTAAGTCCTCAGAAGGTGAGGAACTTAGGTTTGTCTTGGGAAGGTTTCAGAGTTTCACCCAAGAACATGTCTGGGAAAAGCTGTACACCTGCATGCAAATAAATACATGCATAAACATAGCGTATGTACATAAACACAAATGCATCCTGCATATGTATAAACGGTGTATAATTGATATAAAGTGGCTCAGCACCCAGCAGGTGGCACTCACACCCTGAGCTCCCGAGGCCGGCACTCCGCGCTGCTCTATGAGAGGCACCATCTCACCGAGAGGTGAAAGCACCATGGGCACGCACCCGCCACCCTTTTGCAAGGCCTGATGCAAGGTAAAGTCCAGCATCTGGGCCGAAATCCCATTTAGCTTACTGGCCAGGCACCCCTTCCATTAATTCCCCCAAGAGCTGCAAGGCTCCCCCCTTGACTGCTGCTGATTCTCAAGTGTTCTTGCAGCCTTTCCAGAGGAGCAGTATTCTGGGGACTGAAAGGGTCCTGGAATATTTTCCATATAGAAGCATCACATTATGATATCAAGAACAATACAACTAAATGTAAAGCTTCCTTCAGACTTCATCACTTCTTTTCTCCATTTGACACACCCAGCTAGCTTTCAATTAATCCCACTAATAATTTAGGCTTTTGAAGATCTTATGAATGAACAAATCAGAACTGGAAGAGGAAATACTGTTTTTCTTTGATTAAAATTAAAGACTTGTTTTCACCCTAGACTTAAGTATCACAATCATATGTACATTCTTAATACACCTCCTAAAGCTGAGTGGTGCTTCAACTTCAGCTGAGTGGGTTTGTTTTTAAAAAAATATTTTCCTTTCCAATTCAATATTCCACCCATCTCCCTTCCTTCTTTTAAAAAAACAATAAAATCAGTTTAGAAGCATCCATTTGAAAACATCAGCTCTTTGTGGAGCAGTGCTGTTCCCTGTTAAGAGAATGCTTCGTGTCAGATTGAAAGATACCTTTCCAAGGTCATTTCATGTTCCAATGGGTTTGTTATGAAGTTGTGGAATGGCAGATAAGGTTGCATGAGATAGTAAAGTGCCTTCCTAAGCTAGTTCTGGGCAGTAATGTGCAACCAATATTTGAGCAAGGGACTTCAAGAAACTTCATATGCTGAAATAAATGCTGCTGCAGGAAGGACAGAAGTAGTGCCGAGATAGTGATAATCTGTTTCCCAATTAAAAAACAACAAAATAATAAAAGGCCATTTTCTTGACAAGTTTGCACAAACTGCACACATTTATGGCACTTGGCAAAGGTTGAGTGCTTCTAGGAACTTTAGGGGGTATCTCTTCAGCAAGTTAAAATACCCAACTCTTCAGCAAGTTAAAATACCCAACCCTGTGTAATAATGAGGATTTGATGCTAAAAACTGCTCAATTCAGCATCAATAGTAATGCCTTCAAATTGCCAGAACAAGAATACAAGAGTATTAAGTACCAGGACTGATAGTTTGCAAGGTTAAAAAAGGGAGGGGAAAGAAAAAAAGGTGCATATCTAATAACAGTTTTTTGAAAGTCTTGTAGTTACAAGTGTGAGGAATGATGATCCAGTATTTTTAGACTGCTTCTAACAGATCCCAAAAATGGAGGAAACCATATAACAGCATCCTCTTAGCAAGCTTTTAATACTGCCTGAGCCTATCCCAAACTCTGAAAGAAGGTAAGCCTCTGACAGAACACTGAATTGTGTGCCACCATTTCAGCCATCATACTAGGGACTAAATCCTTCCCTGGAAGTAACAGATGAACAAACATGCAAACTCCAGAGAGAAGGGGAAAAGATCCTCCTCATAAATGTTTAGCTACATCTTGACGTGGTTTAAAGCTTGATGAATGATCACCCGTTTGGAATACAAAACCACAAGTATCTGGCATCGAAACAGCCCTAACAAAAGGGTAGGGGAGCCTGAGGTGGTGTTTTTTCAAGTCCCAAATTAGTATTTTAGGGATCCAACAGCCTGACAGAAAAAATATTAGAAAAATGGCCACCCAGCACTGAACTATGCACAAAATGCAGAGTTTCGGCGCTTCCAGTTCTGCATTGCACCCTGCGCTCCCAGCCCCCCGCATTCCCACAGGCTCGCAAACGCCCCCGACTCCCCCACGCCGCTGTCCACTGCCGGGGAGGGGCGGGGGGAAACTATGGTCCCTCGGCACTATCTGCAACCACCCCGAGGCTCCATTACTACTACTTTTCATTTTCCTGCTAGTATCACTTTACTAATGAATTGCTGTTACTACAGAAATGTAAATGTCACCAGCTGAGTAGTTCCGTTTTTTTTTTTTTTTTAAACATCCGAAAAGGTAGGGAAAAGGGGGGAGGGGAGGTGGGGAACACCTCATTAATATCCACTATTAGACATTTTCAATGCTAAAGCAGCACCGACCCCCGCCGCCCGCAAAATCTTGCGGCTTCATCACGACTGGCCCCAAGCCCCAAAAAGGGGTTTCAGTGCCTCATCATCACCGACTGGGCTTACCAGCGGATGCTCCCCCGGCTACGCTCCGGCTTGCGCAGCGCGGCCCCTCCGCGCCCCCGCATCCCACCCCCGCCGCGCACCGCGCGTAACTTTGCGGACGCCGATCAGCGCCCAGGCTGATCTTCCGCGGGATGCTGCGCTCCGCGGAGGGCAGAAAGGCGGGAAGGGCGGCTGAGGGACAGGGTCCGGCAGGAGCCATATCCCGCCTGCGGCACTCCCGCACCGCATCGCCTGGCGCCGCGCATCCCGCTCCGCACCGCGGGCAGCAAGTCCGCCCCGCCACCGAAGCGGGGAAAACCCTGTCCGGTGACCCCCGAAACGACTCACGGCGGGGACGAGGGGGGCACGGGACTGCCAAAAGGAGAAACGGGGAGAAGGGAATGGAAACAGGCGAAGAGACACCCCCGCGCCGCAGCCCCGCCGCCCCAGCCCTCCTCCCCGCGCAGCGGCGCGGAGCGATGCGCAGCGGCAGCGCGCCCGCGGGGGCAGCGCACGCCCCTCGGCCCTCCCCGCTGACCTCAAGCCAAGGACAGCTCGGCGGTCCCGCTGCGCATCGCGACCCGCGGGCCCCGCTGACCGGAGCCAGGCCAGGGCGGCAGCAAGGGCGGCCGGGGAAGCGAGGGCTCCTCACCTGAGCCTGTCCCGGGAGGTGCTCTCCGCCGCCGCTGCGGGAGGGACGCGGCTCCTGCGTCTCTCCTCAAAGAAGGCTGGCCCGGACAGCCCCGGCCCGGCGAAGTTACGCACCGTCGCGGAGCCGGGCTCCCACCTGCAGCGCCCGTCAGACTCCGGCAGCCGGCACAGCACGGCTCGGCTCGGCTCGGCACCGCACGGCTCGTACCGCCCCCCTCCTCCCCATTGGAGACGCCGCCGCCCCGCCTCCGCCCGCCCGGAGCGCCCGGGGGCGGCGGTGGGCAGCGCGCTGCGGGACGCTCCTGCCCGCGGGGCTGGCGGCCCGGACAGGTGAGGAGTCGTGCGACGCACCAGCTCCTCTTGCCACCCCACCGCCCTCCATGGTTTGGCTTGTGGTTTTTATTTTTTCTTTTCTGAGGGAAGAAGCAAAGTACTGAAAGCGGGTCCGTGAGGTTACTTTATGCCGATGTTTCGTGCTGTTACGCTAAAGCGGAGCTCGTTGCCGCAGCAGGCGCTGAGAGGCTTTGATGCAGGCGCTGCCGCCCGGTCCGAACCATCTGAACATGGTTACTTAATGCCCCGAGCAGGCAGCGGCAGCTCAGGCAGGATGTCACTGGTGAGTAGTCCGTGACAGATCCAGGGAAACCGCAAACTTCTGTGCAACTGCTAGAGGATACGGCCGGTTGGGCTTCCTGGGGACTTCCCAAGCAATGCTGCCCTCAAAAAAACTGAGCACCTCGTACTTTGAGTCTGTTTTTCTATTTAAATTATAGGTAGCCCCTTCACGGGTGCACTCTAGAAAAATAAAAGGACAGCATTTGAGAGCTGTGGGACAGAAACAAGAATGCAGCTGCACTGATGGCAGTTTGAAAAAAGCAGTTTCCAAAAAGTGGAAATTCCCCCTTGGATTTGGGAGGAACCACCCTGAAATTCTGGGGAAGTGAAGTTGCAGTTCCTGGGAACACAGCTGTCTCAAGATGGGAAATGTTCAGCCACATTTGGAGGTGATGGGAATACCCATACAGTAGTGAGAATTTCCTGGGCCAAAGCATACAGAAGAGCCAGAACTACTCTCAGCTGACTTGTCTTTGGCAAAATGGTAGTGAGATGTCCCTCCAGACAAGCAGAAGACTGTTCCCAGACCAGGAGCTTTGGGTGTCACGCCTAAGTCATTAACACCAAGATTATGCCTGACCCTGCCAAGGTCTGTAAATCACGCCGAGGCTGATTTATCCCCCGTGGGAGGCAGCCAGAATTGCTGCATTTAGAAAGCCTGCTGGCTTCGCAGAGCCCAGCAAATCCCTCTGCTCAGCAGCAGGGAAGGCCGTCTCCCTTCCCGGAGGAGGCAAGCGACAGGGCAGGGAGGGCTGTGTCCCAAAGGCCACAGTGCAAGGCAGCGTTAGGAAGGGCTGTGGCATCCCTTGGCTTCCAGCCAGCAGCCCCTGCTGGCACCTCAGCTTGAAGTTTGCCCACAGTGAAAATAATTGCTGAGATCCATCAGATGTAGCCTTAAGAGTTCAAAGGATAACCGTGGGGGAGATCTCCTTGGTAGGCGGGGCACGGTGTGCCAGCCACCAGTGGCAAAGGTTGAAGTTCCAATGGGGAAAATTTTGTTCAGCACATGAGATAATTTTCTCTGATAAGTTATGCTTAGGTTGGTTCAGACAGAACATCCTGCTATTGCAGGGAGTTGTGTGACAAGCAAATTTCCTGGGCGCCTGCACTAGTGGTTTGGTTTTTTTTGTTGTTTTTTTACTGTGGATCTATGTACAGCTATTGACTTTTACAGCTTTGCAAATTGATATGCAAGAGATGCACAGGACAAGGTGAGTGAGATGGGACACGACCCTGGCCAATGCATCAGCAGGAATCCAGTGATGTCAGAGGAGACATGGCTCCAGCTGGGAGCAGTGAGGCCAGGGCTCCCAGCAGGAGCAGAGCTGTGAGGCAAGCAGTGAAACTGTGAGCAGGAAAGTGGATGCCATTCCCCACAGATTTCCACTGGCTATTGTGGAATGGACTGACAGTGCACCACACCCTGTAAGGGGTTTCTTATCTCTGCTAAGGTCAAGGTGGGCTCTAGGAAGGAGTCATGTGTGTAGAACAAGTGCTACAAAGTGAGTGCTAGGTTTGGGAAGACTCCTGTGGGAAGCTGGTGCTTTGCCAGGGTGGCAGCAGGTACCTGGGGCTTTAGGGGAGCTGGCTTCAGGTAACTCATAACAATCACCCAGCCCTGGGACAAAATGGCTGAAGTGTTTTTTCTTCTGCTGATGTGGGAAAAGGCCACGCCAGTCCCTGTTGGAGAGGCATTAATTAAAGGAACTAATGGCGAGTTCCTAAAATATCTATTGGAGTATCAGGATGTCTGCTGAGAGAAATCTGACTTGCTGGGCTTCAAGTTGTGCCAAGCCATTGTGTTCATCAGGAAATGAGGGTGTTCTGGGGCAGGTAAAACAGAAATAAATCATGCTGACCCTCCGCTGGTGCTTTCTACTCCTATTTCCAAAGACACGTTTCAGGAGGTGGCTTACATATATTTGTTACATCGTTACTTAATAGGATGTAACAGATCTAAGGCTTTTTTTTTTTTTTCTTATATTATGGTTAGTGCTTTTAGCACACTGTATGGGAGTCTCTCCTTACTAAAATTACTATCCTAAGCACCCCTTTCTGAAACTCCCCTGCCAAGTATTCCCTGCGAAGTCTGCATTAGAAGAATGTTAATCTGATTTACAGTAACCTAACATGACAACTTGTGGTAATAGGTGATAAAAAGTTGAATCCTTGTGACAGAGAAAACGTTCATCTCTGGCCATGATATGAATATGGGATACCCCAGGGGTCTGACTCAGGAGAGCACAGAGCCTGTAAGCACAGGGTGATGAATGAAGGGAAGAATTTGCAGCATCATTCTAAAAAGCCATTTGTACAGGAGAGCATCATTATTTCCACACATTTCAGCAGTTCCTAGTGTGGGCTGGCCTCATATATCCAAACTTTTATGGGGCCTCTGTATTATTTGTGTGGCAGCGGTGGGTTTTTTCCTTTAAATGAACCCAATTAATAATGTTTCATCTGCCACTGCTTATTAACACACTTCCAGGAGATCGAGTGGTCGGAGCGGGACTGGCCGGAATTGAACTTCATACTCTGAAGGAGGAGTCCAACATTTTCCTGAGATCTATGCTCTGAGCGTGACACTGGAGGTGCAGATTTGCAATTAAGTTTAGGTTCACATAAAAGTGGTGATGAATACTATAGCAAAATACTATGCAGATGGTGTTTTCTTTGCAGAACGGCCCTCCTGATAAGTCTCCGCATCCCCACCATCGCCGGCGCATCAGCCGGCAGCACTGGCTATCGGTGCCCTCTGGCCCCAGGGGCATCCTGCAGACCTTCCACCATGGCACCAATCCTCACTGCTGTGCCATGGCAACATGTTCCTGAAAAGTATCCCGGTGTGACAGCTCACCTGCTTACAGCAAAATCCAAGAGCGTTTCTTTAAATGCTCTGTTTCCAGTAAAGGAAACTCTACACCTCAGAAGCAGCTTTGTCCCTGCCTGGTTATTTTAAATTGGGGTTTGTTAGAGGGACCAGGGCAGTGTTTGTTGTAATTTGCCAGTCCCTAAGAATTGCTTTCAAACTGGAGACCATTATTACCTGGGATTAGAGCTGTGCCCAGTTTTATTTTTATACCATCATCAGTGCATGTGATGTTTAAAGACAAAAAGACAGGAAGAGGCAGCATTTCTTCCCCAGCTAATATGTACGGTTTGGTGACTGAAAGAGATTTATTGAAATCAATGTGCACTTTACCATCGATTTCTTTGTGCAGTGAGGCCTCCTTTAAAGCTTGCCAGCTTTTCCTTGCAAAATTGAAATGAGACTAACCTGATGTATCAACAGTGAGTAGTTTGAAGTGATACTTCTCTTTCTCTCTCTTTCTCTCTCTTTCTCTCTCTTTCTCTCTCTTTCTCTCTCTTTCTCTCTCTTTCTCTCTCTCCAGGCTTCTGAGACACCACAAAAAAACTTTTATTTAAAAATGTATTTATCACATTTACTGAAGGTGTCCAGACTGCCTAAAAAAATAAAAACTGCATAAAAAATTCAATTTAGCATTGGCAGGGGACTTGACCAGATGATCTAACTGGTCGTTTATTGCCAGCTATGACTATAATTGCATGTCCACATTATGCTGTTTAAAATTTTAAATTCAACCCATATTTTCATTCTGAAAGTGAAAGGAATTTACTTTTTCATCATTCTTTGCTCATGTCAGGAGAGCAATTTTTCACTGCTGATAAGAAAATGTCATTTTTTGTTTTAAAATTGCAACCTAAAAAGCCATTTCTATGTCTCATGAGCTTTTATTTATTGATTGTCTCATTATTTAGTGAATAATTTCAATTAATTTTATAATAATAACAATCTGTAGTGCATATCTATTGCCTTGTACAGAAAAGACTTTAAATAAACTATTGTGAATTATGATCTTGTCATAATGTCATTAAATGCTGCTTTTTCAGGCTCCATAAATTGACCCCTAAAAAGAATAACAATAAATAAATTATTTGTATTTTTTTAAGTGCACTGACAGGCTTCTGCAATGAGGTGACCTGCTCAGTGTGTGAAGGGAGAGCAGTGGACATTGTTTATCTTTTCAAAGCAAGAAAGGACTTTGACATTATTTCCTGTAGGACCCTGGTAAATAAGCTGCCAATATATATGTTAGGTAAAAGGACAGTGAGGTGTACTGAAAACTGTCTGAATGACAGCTCCAGAGTGTTGTAAATGGCAGTAGATCCAGCTGAGGACAAGTCCCTAGCACATAAGGGCTCAATGATGGGGGTCAGTATCTTGTAAGCTCTTCATTAATGATTGGGATGATGGGGCAGAATACAACTTTGAAGATGAGACAAAATTAGGAGGAGTGGCAGATACCAGAAGGTTGTGTGGCCATCCAGAGGGACCTTAAGAGGCTGGAGAAGTGGGCAGGTAAGAATCTCATGTACTTCAATAAAAAGAAATTGCAAAGTATAACTAGAGAGGATCAACCTCAAGCACCAGTACAGGCTGGGGGTTGGTCAGGTGGATCATCCAGGAGATTCTGATGGGCCTGGAGGCTCTGATGTGTGAGCAGCTGCCCACCAGCCAGCAATGTGACCTTCATTGCAGCAACTGGCCCTTGCTGCAAAGATGGTTCGTGGCACCTTGGGCTGCATGACCAGGTGTGTAGCCAAGAGGTCAAAGGTGGTGATCCTTCCCCTCTGGTCATCACTGGTGAGGCCACAGCTGGAGTGCTGGGTCAGGCTCTGGGCTCCCCAGTACAGGAAAGCTACAGACGTACTGCAGAGGTCCAGCTAATGGTCCTAAAGGTCATTAATTCATCTGAGTTTCTGAGGTGGGGAGACTCAGGGAGCAGGGACTGCTCAGTCTGGTGAAGAGAAAGAGCATCTGACATATGTATGTCAATACCTGATAGGAAGGAACAAAGATGAGACAGACAGGTTCTCCTCAGTGATTCTCAGTGCCAGGACAAGAGGCAGCTGGCACAAATGAAATCACACAAAATTCCATCTGAACACAAAAACCCCTACAATTTTTTACAGTGATGGCAGTCAAACACTGGCACAGGTTGCCCAGAGAGGTCAACCCTTGAAAATATTTAAAAGCCATCTGGACAGGGCCTTGGGCAATCTGCTGTAGGTGTCCCTGATTGAGCAGGAAGGTTGGACAAGGTGACCTCCAGAGGTCCTTTCCAAGCTCAGCCACTCTGTGATTCTGTGAGTAATTCAGATACCGCACAGAGCACATTCTTCCTACTTCTCAATGAGAAAACAACAAACGACTCCACTGCAATTCCATTTTCTGACTTTGATGAACGGAAATATGTTACGCATCATTAACAACATGCCAGCATATTAAAACCATATTATGCTTGTAAAATAAAGAGCATTTTTTCATCCATTGCCATCAAATTTATTTCTGAGTTAATCTGAAAAATTAAATAAATCCACATGGATCTCCCAGTTAGTGCTGCCAAGTATGTACATTCTTTAGTTTGAAATGAAAATACTTCTGTTCAAAGTTTGAGATGGAACACATACACTCTAGTGTTTCAAATTAAAACAAATTAGATGATTTTCAATCGGAAAGCTATGTCAAAGCAAAGGAGATGGCAATATTGCAGATTGGCCATTCTTCCTTATAATGGCTCATCAGTCCAGGCCAAAAGTGCAGTAAAACCAGAGAAATATCTGTCCTTGGTCTGGTTGATGTGAATATGCAGGAGGCATATTGTGTTTTTGGACAGAACTGGTGTCTGCCTGCAAGTGTGAAGTCTGGACAATCCCAGACCACACTGAAGTGGAAGAGCATGCTGATCATCTTTCTTTTAGAAGAAATGAAAGAAGAATTAAAGTCTCATTTATTTAGTCATAATTGAAACAAGACAAGCTACCGCCCAAGGTGCAGCACAATATAGGAAGGCTGGATCGGAAGCTCAGCCATGTGGCTAGAGGGATTTCACTGGAAACTGGTTGCAAAACCAGGAAATGGGGCACTGATTTGGTTGAAGCTTTGCATTAGCTTGTGGATGGAAAGAAGCACAAACCAAGCAGGCAATCAGACAGGCAGAGTATGTGTGTGGCCCCAGAAAGGTAGCCAAGAACAAATGACTTTTTTTTCTTTCCAACCCTGAAAAGCCCAGAAAAAGATTTCACAAACAGGAAGACAGCTAACTCTCTTGTCCTTCTGTGTTTCAGTGGAAAAAATATTTCTATTTTAACAAACAGATTTTCTCCAACTTGTAAAAACAATGTCAACTTGAAGCAGCCCTAGAACTCTGTGAACTTTGGCTTCCTGCAAGGAACAGCCTTATCTAACTGCAACACCATATAACCCACAGCACTTAAATCAGTCTTCCATAAAGCAGGCTAGAGTCTCATCCTGCTGTCAATTAGAACTCCTCTCACAAAATAGACTGAAAAAGATGTGTATTGCAGCCTTGGAGCAATACAGCTTCTTCCACAAAGTTATGAAACCTTTCTTCCTTTAGGGATAAACAGTAAAGCAACATCTAATTTGTATGAATAACCCTTTCAGCGTCTTAAATACTTCCAGTCTGACAAATTTTTAAGCTGTTCTGATTTTTCTGAATGTGTTAATCTTCCACAGCTATTATTTTAGTGCAAACAGTGGATCATGCCATGCTACTATATTTCATATTTCCTACTGTGCTTTTTTAAAGATTTGTGATTTGATATTTTTTCAAAATGATAAAATATTAGCCAACTGTGCTGTAGATGGTTCTCCAGGTAAAGTTTTATATCTGATGGTCTGTGGCACAGAAAAATATTCACTTGCTGACAAAGCTGTTCAGTCTACTTATGGTTCTTGTTGAATTGAGAATCTGCAGAAATGTGTAATGGTGCATGGACTACGGTTTTTTCTGTGCCAACTCCATCTCTAAATGTGATGCCATTTGTGTACAGAGCTATCCAGATGTGTGTCACAGCTTGATTTCCTGAGGCTGTCCAGGGAAACGCTTCAAGAGAAACACTGCTCTCTACCCCAGTGACATGAAAAATCCCTTCAGGATGCTATACAGTACCAGAGCAGCAAAGCTTCGTTACATTTGCTTTTAATGTGTCCCCTTTCATCTTGTTGAAAATCCATCTTTTCTTCTGAACATGTTCATGAAGCTCACATAAAATGCTTTTTTTCATGTCTGACTAAACCTTTTTTAATTTGACAGTGGAAATTATGCTTCTGTACTCTTAGATGGCTGTTTGTAATTTGGGCTTTTTCACTGATACAACAAAAATAGCTCCAATCTGAAGGTGAAAATTCTAGCCTGCATTTCTGTGCCAACACTCACAGAAGTCTAGCAATGCCTTAATCCTCTGAATGAACAGGTGCCTTATAGTTAAAGATAGATGTATACTTATTTGGAATATTTTTTATCATATCCATTATAGGTCACTGCCTCTTACCACCCCACTGCAATGCTAAGGACTCATACCCAAAGCACAGCATGGCAGCTCCCCATTTTTGTCTTCTCATGCACCTGGTTTGTGCCAAGGGCTGAGCTGGGAAGGGTACACAGCTCTTTGAAGTGGGAGGTAAGCTTTGACATGTTAGGAGAGGGAAGGAGAAGCAGAAGGATTCGGATCCTCAGGAGTTTGGGATGAGCCTACAGATCGAAATCATACAAATATTTACAAGCTGCAGATTCCCTTGGTTTTTGTTTGTTTTTTGTTTGTTTTCTTCTCTCTTGCTTTTTTTCTTTCTTTTTATTTTTCTTGACAATATGAAGTAGTAGGGGCTTGTCATTTCCCTTTGCTATAGCTGGGGATCAGAGCTAGTTCCAAGGTAGGTGCTGTGATTTGTGGGGCTTGCCCTGCTCTGCTGAGCCTGTGCTCTCTCTCTCACAGCTCCTGGCCACATCTCCCGCTGGTTCCCTCAGAGGTCAGCCCCCAGCCAGATGGGCACTGCATCTGCTGACAGAGGTGGGCTAGGATGGATGTGAAGAGCCAGGTCCAGCTGTAGGTAAGGCTGGGCTTGTTTTGATGTGAGCTGCCAAGAAGCCTAAGAAGACATTAAGCAGGGCATGCTCGTGTAGCTGCCTTTTCACTATTTTCTTTTAAAGCTTTGGCTTTTATAGTTGAAGAAACAAAGATGACAAGTGAACTGAAAACATTCTGAGGATCAGAAAGTTTGTAAAGGTGCTTCCTGACAGCCTTTGTATTAACACTATGTCATTCCTCAATGTCACTTACAGTTACTGTGACAGTTACTATTAAAACCATTTAGATTATTGTATGTGATTTAGCAGCATGGATCTTGGATTGATTTCAAAAGAATCATTGCACATACTTAAAATTCATAATCTGCAGGGAATGTTATATGCAAAAATAAAAAATGCTTGAAGCAGGACTGTCTAATGAACTTACGTGTGTTTTCAGACCACACTGTTATCCCTCACTAGATCACAGATTTCAAATTCTGGAGAGGAAGGGTTAAACTTCCTGACAGCTGCAAAAGTTATCACAAGACAAGTGGTACATATATCATTAAAAAAAATCCAGAAAATCAGTTCAGCCCTTCCACAGTAGAGAGTGAAAGAGAGAAGATGGTATTTCCTTAGTGAGATAACGTTTGTCTTGGGTGAGTATAAACATGAAATCTCTTTTTAATCTCGTTTTAAATTTCAACTAAAAGGATCAAAACTAATTATTAAAATAGGACCTCAAATAGACTTCATACTTATTACAGTAAAAAAAAAAAGATTAACATTCATGAGGGCCCTACTTAAAAAACAAAAGACTTCAAATGAGCTGAAAGATGAAAATGATCCTGCAAACAATAGGTAATGCATTAAGAAATACAGAATGGCATCAATTAGACTCAATAACTATAAATATGTTGACACATTTATCCGCTTTTATAAAATTTATTAACTCCACACACTAAAATCAAATGCATAGAACTGCAAAAGCAACAGAATGGATATGCCTAAGTTCAGTAATTCTTTAACACCTGTAGCATCATTCTTAATGATATGAGTGGAGGAATATAGCTTTTCATAACTGAGTGTTGCTAGAAAGACAATGTTTTCAAGTGTTTTTCAAGTGCTGCTAGAAAGACAATGAAGCTGTAAGCAAAGGATACAGCTTGTCCACTTTGGGGTCTTGGCCCAACAGAAGACAGCAATTGACTTAAATTATGACTTCTAGCATGGATATTAATGTGGAGACTAGGCATAAAAAATTTCTAATTACACAGCCAAACCCTACCTGTAAATAGTGTGAGGTTTATGGGTGAAACTGAATAGTGGTCATCACTCCAGTGATGGTCTTGTGGTCATCACTCCAGTGAGACAGCTTAAAAGAGCATAGAAAGAGCAGAAGTCTAGTATTCTGGGATATTAGGAATGTAGGAAGGGTCATATGTTTTCTGACTTCTGAGTGTTACTGGTATGCTGACTAGAGAATACATAGAATCCTTAAAGAATAAAAATGAATGTACATATCAATTTATGTACTATTTTAGTGAAAGTCATAACATTTTTTATGATTTATTTATTCAATCCCACTACACTAAGCCTTACACAGGTAATCTAGTAGGCTATCTTGCTTGCAGCGATTAAGGTTGGTTTTCTTAGCCTGTTATTCATGAATGAATTTTTATTCTAAAAATCTTTCCAAACTGCTTGCAGCCACACCTGCCATCCCATGCCATACATGCCATATGCCAGAGTCATGGGTAGTGTAAAGGGGTGTGAGGGACTGATTTTGGTGGAGGATCCGTGAACCTGACACCTGTGCAGGAAACTAGAAAGCCACTGAAAAGTGTGTTCAGCAGTTTGGGAGGAAGATCAATCATGTGGTTTATGTGTCACCACTTCTCCGATAAGCCTGTGACTGTGCCACTTCAGAGGATGCATTGTGCCTTCAAAGTTAATAGTAGAATTAAAATTGTCAGTTTGTATTTACTCCATGACCTTTTAGCTTGATAATAAAAACATGTGCATTTTTATGTTGTTTATGAAACTTTTTCAATATGTTTTACATTCTTTTGATAACATTATGGGCAATTTTAATCCTCAAGCACCTTGCTCAGTAAAGCTTTTAAAGGAATGAAATTACTTTTATATACAACCATTAAGTGCTCCCCTCTATTAGAACATTATGACTAGATTTCATGCCTACAATAAAGCTAATAAAGCAGGTTATTGGAACAGGATTTGAGATTTTAATTCAGATTTATAATAAACAGAAGGAAAACAGCTAATATGTACTGACTGCCAAAGGTTACTGTGATATAAGATAAAGACTGAGAGTTCAAGCAAGTGAGAGACTTTTCAACACAATGAAGATGAATTTGTGATGCTATGGACTGTTGCAGCCTAAACAGGATAATTTTTACAAAGTCTTACACAGAAACTTTCCATTTATATTGCATTAAAACATTCTACATCAATGTCAGAGATTTGTAAGAATTGCATGATTTTTCTGTTCATTATCCTTTTTAAAGTAAGTCACTACACAGAGAGAAAATCCTATAGAATAACTTACCATGAAGTAAGAAGGATGTTGCAGTAAAAGTAAGTAGAAGTTCAACTCTCCAATAAATTTTGTTGTTGCAGAAATGGTTTTTTTTCTGAAAAATGAAAGTGGTCATGAATGAAATGCAAAATGAAAAAAAAAAATCAATGACATTCCTTGTCAAAATCATTCAATTTATTAACAGGGGAGAAGGGGAGAAACATCTTAGAATTAAAGATTTGACAGCATAGACTCAATATACTTAACCTCAGAATTCTATAATTAAAACCTTTATAGATTTATAACTCCAGTCCCACAAACATATGTCTAGAAAATGTTATCAAAAGACATACAATAAACTAGGATAATTTATTATCCATTTTTATCTGTCCCTCAGTTTAACTGTATTTTGGTCTAGAAAACATTACCATTTCAGAATTAAGAGAGTGCCTCAGAATTGCAGATATAATCTGTTTTATCTTGTTTCTAGGCAGAAAACCATCAGCAATTTCTCCTAAAGTATTTCAAATTTTATTCCAGTTGCTGACTGGTTGATGTGGTTGATGCAGACACCGATGGCTGAGTTCACACTTGAGAGAGGTGAATATTGTGCTGACAGACTCAAATGCAATTTCCCTCACTGTAATCCAGACCCAAACTAGGTCCCAGTAAATAATTAATCCCGTGGAAATTCTAAAACCTCCAGGATGTGAGACATGGGTTTGGATGTTTCCAGTTTCCTTTGAACAGTAATCCTTCAGGATTTAAGAGTAGCAGGAACTGCTTGGCATAACCAAGTGCATCCTTCAGGCTGCAGTTCATCTCCCGTATGTCTGTAAGAGGAGGGGCCATTTCTCAATTTCCAGATTTGTATTTAGGACATAGAGAGATAAGGAATGTTTCCAAACACAGTGCATACTCCCAGCAAAATCAAAAACTTTATCTTCTCTTCTTATTAAGCAAACTGCACATCTGAGTAACTTTTACCAGTATGAGGATGACTCTTGTGGTTGGTTCCTATCTTTTCTTTTTTTTTGATTTTCTGAATAGAAATAGGGCTATTCTCATTAGTCTTGATTAATTCAACCATGTAAAAATGATAAGAAAATAGCATTTGTTAAGAAAGAAAAGTGAATTATAAAATAAAGAACATACATCTGAATCTTTTTTACTAGAAGTTTAGGCGAATACTGTGAGGTACCCAAGAGATTTCAAAGGCTACTGTTCATTTTTTCAAAATGGCTTTCTTTGAAGAATTTGCAGTACTTATTTAAGAACTATGTTTTCATTAAAAGAATTCCACCAGTGAACTTTGGTACTGCTGGTAAACACAAACATGAGGTTTTTGGGAAAAAAATTTTCTTCAAAGACCAAGAAATAGCCATTGCAATCCCTCATCTCTCCAGACATTATGTGCTTTTCCTTTTACCAAAGTTGACCTCATCCAGTTCTGCATTGCAGTTACCTGGGGTAGCTTTAGAGCTGCCTACAATCATCTCTGTGTGTCTCCAGCTTTCAGGCTGGCAGAGGTTAATATGACTCAGCTACTTCCTGGCCAGCATTTTTTGCTCCTTGCAAAATAAATAATGCAGAAACCATATTAGTGCCTCTAATTTCTACATTTAAGCATTTTTTCCAGTATGTGTTTTGTATTACATATTTTGTTTGTATATTTATTCAATTGGAAAGAAAGACAGTTAAGGAAAAAAAGAAGTTCCTTTTATAGTAGCTGAATAAAGTAGAATTACAATAGCATACATGGGTAGAATAAAAAGTACATTCATTTTTTATTTTGATTAGTAGACCATTTGCAGGAAGAAATAATTTATTAGAGCAAAAGATATATCACATAAAATATACTTTCTTGGTTAAAATTTTATCCTATTTTCAGGGAAAATAGTTTTCAAAGTGGAAACCTCATCATGTTGCTTTATGCAAACTATCTGAACCAAAGGAAAGGACTTTTCAAAAGAGTCTCCAAATACTTTTTCACTTTAGCAAAGACCTCTACCATTGATTTGATACTCTCTTTATGGATGAAAACCTTATTCAAGAATGAGAAATGTTTCCACTGAAGTAATTTATCAAATAACAAGCCATTAGTGTGTTTTCTTTCTGGAAGGGATGATGCCAAGTAAATTACTTTCATTATAGGTCAAATATCACCAGTACTAAGAGCCTTGGACATAGTTTTTAAATTCTTTGATGGATCTGTATCAATGCACTTTCTACCACTGACGACTTCTGAGATCTCAACTCATCAAAATGCATTTATTCAGCTCAGCTTGCCCATTCAGCTGCAGTTCAGGCCTCTTCATAGGAGAACTTCACTGAACAGTCAGAGGACATGGGAACAAAGAGGAAGACTTTGTTTGTTTATAATTTTCCTTTGTGAGATCCCCCAGGAGCAGGAAAGAAAATAGTTTACAGTCTGGTAAGATCAGAA